TAATTCCTATTTAATTTTAACACATGTGAATAATAGATATCACCATGAAAGCTACTTACTTTAAGATCTAGATTTTAATTTGATAGAATTATTTTTGGTATTAACAGTTTTCTAAAATATTTGTTTGATTATTTTTGTACATTTCTAGACATAAATGTGAACATTAGAGCAGGTTTAACATTCTGTTGACATAATAGAGTTAAAGGTTTTTACAGAGAGGGTTTAGGATCTCTCTGAATCTCCTCATAAGTCTAGTGATGGACTAAAGTAATGGACAGGTAACCTAGAACAATGGACAGGTCTACTGGTGGACAGGTCTACTGGTTGACAGGTCTACTGATGGACAGGTCTACTGGTGGACAGGTCTACTGGTGGACAGGTCTACTGATGGACAGGTCCAGTGATGGACAGGTCTACTGATGGACAGGTCTACTGGTGGACAGGTCTACTGATGGACAGGTCTACTGATGGACAGGTCTACTGGTGGACAGGTCTACTGATGGACAGGTCTACTGGTGGACAGGTCTACTGATGGACAGGTCCAGTAATGGACAGGTCTACTGATGGACAGGTCTACTGGTGGACAGGTCTACTGATGGACAGGTCTACTGGTGGACAGGTCTACTGATGGACAGGTCTAGAGTGATGGACTACAGTACTGGACTACAAAGATGAAGGCCTCAGTGATGAACAGGTCTAGAGTGATGGACTACATCACTGGACTACAGCACTGGACTACAACGATGGAGGGCTCAGTGATGGACAGGTCTCCTCCCCCTCTCTGATCTGGTCCTGTGCGCTCAGCAGCTCCGTCTCATCCAGCAGAGCCGCTGCAGCCAATTAAAGACAAGAAGCCGTCAATGATTTAACAAAAGGATCGTAAATAATTCACCGCAGAACTTTTCATCACGTTCGTGTTTCTGAAGATGGAATCAAACAGAAGAGGTCAGAGTGGGATTAACTGTTCTGTCGGGAAACAGAAGTCAGCGTGAAACGGCTTCAACCGGGTGAGTTCACATCGAAGAGAATAAATATTAAAAACAGAAGTCTGTCGGTTATTGTGGTCTCAGCTGTTCTGCAGTCTGTCGAAGATGTTTTAATAAATGTCTTAAAGCTGTAAAGACTTCAGTCTCTGAAGCACTAAAAGTGTGACATGAAAACACGCACAGAACGCAGTGAAAGCTCGACATGATATGAAACGAGTCATTATCTCATTATTAGTCTTCAGCACAAGTCATGGAACCGGATCAGTGCACGCGCCTGGAAGCTGATATAACATGTTTACCTTTTGTAGGAGATTATGGAGAAATTAATTAATTTAAACTATTAGAAATAAGAAGTGGATTCATATTATTGCTGGATTAAATGAGGATAATGACGAAGATGAAGTACCAAATATTAAGTGTACAGCATTTTTAATAAGTTGATATTAGTAAGTATTAGTAATTAATAGCAGTTAAACACTGAACCAAAGCGTTATTATTATTAATAATCATTTGTTTTAGTCAAATATGAGGTTTTGTGCATCAGGTGGTATTTACTTCACTTTAATGTGATGTGCTGTGTATGATAACACAATATAATATCAGATGTGTTCACGGTGCATCATCCTCTCTGGGACAAACAAAAGACCATCAGATCACATGAAGCTGATTTGAACACTCGGCATCATTAACGTGCATCGTGAGGATCAATACGCTGCTGCTGGCTATGAGCTGATTGATTGTGCAACTCACATTCAGAGTGTTCAGACTTGAACTCTGCTCCTCTGTGAGTTCATCGGTGGGGGTTGGTTAACTCCGCGGTATTAGCACTAATCTGCACGTGTTACAACCATCGGTGTCCCCCAGAGATCAGAGTCTTTATTCACCAGACGTCTGCAGCAGAGAGCATCACGTTGGTAGAAATGTAGACTCCACCAATGAATATATGAAGCAGATGTCTTTGAATGCAGAATGGAGCATATGTCTGTTTGTCTCCACTGGACCCTGATCAGTCACAGTCTTCACCTGCTACAGGTGGACCTGTTCTTAAAGTGGCGCTCTAATGGACTTAACCCGCCGCATACAGCGACTCTCTGGTCTCCACCTGTAAGCCAGAGCTTAGTTATTTTAAAAAGCAGCTGATCGTCCATAGAGAGAGAGGCACTGATCCTGTTTAGTGTTAAGGACATAATGAGCTCGTATTTTTACTCTCAGACACACTCAGTAAACACGTCGACCACACACAGCTTTAAAATGTGATGTTTGTGTTGTTTGTGTGTTTCTCTGTCTGTGTGCTGCAGAGCCTGCAGACGACATGGCAAAGATCGGCTGTGAGAAGTCCTTCTGCAGCAGACAGCGTCTGTCCTCCAGCCGGCCCGATGACGAGCTCGCCGTCATCGAGAACGGGGACAGCAGGTTTCTACACACATGAGCACCGTTCACCTTCCTCCTCTAACTGCTTCACACATAATGTGTGAAATGTGTCTTCATCATGTCTCTGTTCTCCCTCCCTGCTGTCCTCACAGGGCTCCGTCTCTCTGTGAAGACAACTCGGAGACGGCGTTGTCCTCAGACTCCCTCTCAGGAGCCGGGGCCACGGCCAGGTAACTATCGTCACACCTGTTGTTGCACCAGTGGTGGAAAGTTTACCTCAGCATTCATTCAACATCTAGTGCCTGGTTCAACTCATACAACAGATCAGAACTTATGAAAAGTTACTTTGATTTTCATGCGCTTTCCTTAAAATGTCGAGCAACACAAGCGGAGAATCAGAGGCCTTTATAGCTCTTTATACTACGTCACCTGACTTGGTTTACGATTCCGTAGATTACGTACAGAGACCAGAGTTCAAGTCCGTCATCAACGTGTCCATTATCAACGTATCCTCAGACAACGGTTCGTATGATATCTACGAAAAGTTACAAAAAGTTACAAAAAGTTACCCCTTGTTTCCCTCTGAAGTCCAGCACCTGGTCAACTTCCTCTCGTTACATGAAAACAGTCTTTTCAAAATAAACTTCCGTCTTCACAGGAAACAACTTAGTTATGTTTAATAAAGATGATGAATACTAAGACAAAAACATCCCCGCTGTTGGTTGATACGTAATTAAGAATGCATTTTTGAAGAGCCGTTAAAACATGATAACATTGATCTACACGTGTGTGGTTCAGAAACATTCAATGTATCCGTGGATCGTCAGAAACATTTCATTCTGCGACCGGGTTGATAAAATGCTGCTTTCACATCGATGCATCAGAATTAAAGTTATAATGTTGAAGAACTCTGTTTTGTTAATAATAATAATACATTTTATTCATATATTTATTGTTCACTTTGGCGGCACCGATGGCGATAAACGGTAATGCGTTAGTGGGCCATGTGCTCAGTGGAGTATTTCATTGTTGTCCTACTTTTCCTGAAGAATCTGAATACTTCCTCCACCACTGGTGTTTACATCCTCTGCTTCAGTCCTAGACTAGACGGCTATCACTTTGTTCTGTTTCCCTGCTGCTAACCTTCTAGGCTCTCTTACTTCTTCTTCATGCTGTGGACCTGGGCGTCTCACAGAGCGAACCCCCAAACAGAGCGGCACGACTCTTTCCTCGAGCGCTTCAGAGGCCCCGAGCTCCAAGACCTCTCCAGTCGAGAGAGCAATGTCCAGTCTGTGGGCCCCAACGACACGACCCGTAAGGGGAAGTAAGTACCAGACCGAGGCCTCACAGTGACCATTAATCTACTCTCCGCGAGTAACGTGACTCTACTCTCCGCGAGTAACGTGA